TTTCCTCTGCCCAAATCTGCTAAGTCGGGAGCTAGCCGGAGCTGCAGAAGGCTGCGGGACAAAACAGCAAAACAGAAGCAAGACAACACAAGAGCACACAATAGATACAAACTCAAGATTAATCGCACCAAACTTGATTGCAAGGAAATACGACTTCAGCCACAGAGTGGTCAATGTCTGGAATACTCTACCTGACTCTGTGGTTTCTTCCCCAAACCCCAAAAACTTTAACCTTAGACTGTCTACTATTGACCTCACTCATCCCTTTCCTAAGAGGTTTGTAAGGGGCGTGCATAAGCGCACCAATCGTGCCTATCGTCTCTGTTCTATTGTTTCCTTTTATTTTTCTTATATGTACCCATTTCATGTATTCATAACTACGTATATACTTATGCCTATTATCCTGTAAGCGATTGACAAACCAAACGAAATGAAATAAATAAAAATAAAAGACGGTTTTCAATCAATCAAGGTAACCGAATAGCTGGAGACACAAAAGAACCCGGCAGACCCAACTACTTGTTCTGTTTGAGATCCTTCTCTTGGGGTGTGTGTTCAGGGGTGGGCTCCAAAAATTTTAGCAACCAGCTTTCCGCATGGTTGCTGGGTGGGCGTGGCCATGGTGGGCACGGCCTAGACAGCCTCCTGCACCACCATGGCAAGCCAGGGGTGGGGGGGCAGCATTTTTGCCCTCCCCAGGACCCGGAGGCTTTCCTTGAGCCTCCAGGAGAGTGAAAATGGGCTCCCCCAGGCTCCGGAAGCCAGAAATGGGCCCCCCGGAAGTTCTGAGAAACCGGAAATGGAGCCCTTTCCGGCCTTCCGGAACTTCCGAGAAGCCCATTTTCCGCCCTCCTTGAGCCCCTGCGCAGTTACCTGGCATCCAAAACGGGCCACCTGGAGACTCCTGGGAAGGGCGTGGCAGTGTGGGAGGAGCAGGGAGGGTTGGGCAGTGCCAGCCAGGGTTGGGATTTGCAGCTTCGCCGAACTAGGCCGAACCTTAGCTAAAGGATCGCCCGAATCCATGCGAACCCGTGGAGGGCCACCCCTGGTTGCGTTTAAAGGCAAAGCGAAAGATCTTCCCAGTTCTGTTCCAGATCAGACCCCAATCCTCAAAGCTCAAAAAGAAGACTATATTCCTAGCCAATCCACAGTTGAAGCAAACATTTTTGACCCTGAAGCCACCCAAAGGATTGAATACAAGCTGGTGACAACTCATAAAACATCCCTAGGCCTCTTTTAGTAGTTGCCATTTTTTAAAAAAAAGGAGGGGGGAGGGAGGAAATCTGGAACAGCAGTTGAAAGTGGAAGTACATTCCAACTCTTATCTTTAAAAGTTTGTCACTAAACTACCAGAGTTTTTGCCTGCGAATATGTTTAATTAGAGAACGTGAATGGGCTCAATTGGAGAATCTGGTTGATGAGACACCCAGGGGGGGTGGAGGGGGGAAACAGGGTCACAGGGGACTGTAAATGACCTATGCCAGAGTTGGAGTCATACAGGGCGGTGCCTCTATGTCGCCTCCAATAAATCCTTGGAAGTGTTTTGAAGTTTGGCTCGAGAATCATGATCTCATTCGGGCAATTGCTGGAATCCTGACAACTGGAGCCTATCTTTGCTCCTTACGCAAAGCCTTACAGAAAGTGGGGTGTATGGAGGAGGGGGCTTGTCTAGTTTTGCAACACTCGCATCGGAGGGAGGGGACCTACGGCTAGGAGGAGGGAGGCCGTACCTGTGCAAAGTGAGACGGATTGTAGAACTGGACAGCACCGGTCGGGGGATCTCCAGGAGGTGCCTACACGGAACAAGGAGAGAGTTTGCTATCACTGAGATGCCCGGGAAAGTCAGGCAAGCTTGCCTTGGGTGCCTTGGTCAAGCAGGGATTCCACAATAATACGGCAGCAAGAGGAGGACGCACACAAATGCCGAAACTGGAAGGAAAACCGACCTGCCCCCCCTCCCAACTCGCAGGGAAGCTTCCGTGTTACCGATAGGAGCAGCGGTGCGCGCAGGCTGTTGTCACAGAACAAAGGCACATGCAATGACCCTGAGAAGGCTCATTTGCGGGGAGGGTGGGAGCAGCCCCCGAAACATGCAAGAGGAGCAGCGGAAAGGTTAGCCGTGCTGAGTGCTCGAAGGATGCCCATCTGGTTGGGGAGCAAGCCATGAGCCTGCCTGGGGTCCCTGCGGGGGTGCAATCCCCACCCCACCCCGTTGTTTCCGCGGGAGCCCCAAAGATGGATGTGTACAAAGACTGCAATGCTTGGTTCCTTCTGGCAGGACCTGGGAGAGGGTTTTTCAGCCAGGGCAACTTTTAAGACACGCAGGCCAATTCTGCCCACGCGTCTTACATTCTCCAAGGCTGAGAGACCCTGTTCTAGGAAGTCCAAGGCTCTAGAAAGGGACTTGCTTTGAGGTTTCTACCAGATTACAGATTAACAGAGTTGGAAGGGACCTTGTAGGTCATCTAGTCCAACCCGCTGCCCAAGCAGGAGACCCGACACCATTTCTGACCAATGGCCGTACAGTCTCTTCTTGGAAGCTTCCAGTGATGGAGCTCCCACAACTTCTGAAGGCAACTTCTGTTCCATGGGTGGATCGCTCTCCCTGACAGAAAATTCCTCCTTATTTCCAGGTTGAATCTCTCCTAATTCAGTTTCCATTATTCCTTGTCTAACCTTCTGGTGCTTTTTGAAAATAGCTTGACCCCTTCCTCCTCTCTGTGGCAGCCTCTCAAGTATTGGAAGACTTCTCTCCTGTCTCCCCTGGTCCTTCTCTTCACTAGACTAGCCAGGCCCGGTTTCTGCAACCGTTCATCTTATGTTTGAGCCTCCAGTCCCCTCATCATCCTGGGTTCTCTGCCCTCTTTCTAGAGTCTCAACCTCTTTTTTATAGTGTGGTGGTGACCAAAATGGATGCAGTACTCTAGTGTGGCCTTACTAAGGCTTTATAGAATGGATTAGTACCTCCTTTGATTTTGATTGTATCACTCTGTTAACGCAATTTAGGATTGCATTGGCTTTTTTGGCTGCTGCTGCACACGGCTGGCTTATATTTAACTGGTTGTTTACTTAGACTCCAAGATCCTTCTCTCAGTTACTGCTATGAAGCCTGGTTTCACCCAATCTATATGTGTATTTTTGGTTTTTCTTGCCTAAGGGTAAGACTTTATATTCATAACTCTCATAAATCCAGCTGAGCACCAGGCCTTTTCGACTGGCTTCTGAATGCCAGCTGGAACCTCGGTTGGAAAATGTTGATTGTGTTCTCACAGCATCAAGGGTGTCCCCGAACCAGGAGTACCTCTGTCTGCATTTGAGTCTCGGTAAGGGAGAAGAATGTTGCAACGCGTGGAAAAGGCAGGTTTTGCATTCAGCCAAACGTTCTTTTTTTCATTTTGGGGATTTCGAAAAGGAACACAAAATTTTCACTGAGCAATTTTCCAGCACAAACAAGGGCTCTGCTCTTGGGTCTTCTATGCTTGTTGAGACACGTGGTTTGCTAGTTTCTGGTGATTTTTACTCATTCATGCAACACAGAAATTGGGATAGAATCATGGGGCTGCAAGGGAGGAGTTCTTATACCCTTCCAGACAAATGGTTCTCCCAGTCTGTTCTTGAAAACCTCCAGCCATGGAGCCCCCACAACTCCGGGAGGCACGTTGTTCACTGATTAATCAATCTCACTGACAGGTAATTAATTCTAGGTTGGATCTCTCTTTAATGAGTTCCCACCCGTTACTTCTTGCCCGGCCCTCTGCTACTTTGGAGAACGAGTCAATTCCCCTCTTGTCTTTGACATCCCCTTGAGTACTGGGAGACAGCTGTCATGTCAAATGACATGACATCACGTAGCATGATATATATATGATATTGAGTGGGGGATCTGTGGCCCCTGAAGTCCTTTTGGGGGGGTCTTCCCCAATCTCCCTGCTGACAGAATTGCTGTTTCTTGTCTATCTTGATTTAGATGCAATTGTACAGTAGCCTTCACGCTTCCAAAAGACCCCCTTCAATTTCTCTCCAGTAACCCTATCCCAGTATCCACGGGATCACCATAGTAGTGATAAAGAACGAATGTCACTCGGAGTTGAAACGAGGGGTGCTGGGTGCTCTGAGCTGCTTCTCTTCCGGGAGATGTTTCCTTACCCAAAGTACGTAACATCGCCAGCGCTCAGCCTGTAGAGATTCTCAGTCCTCCAGGTCCTGGCTGTCCCAGAGGTGCTTTTTCTGGAGGCAACTGGGCCTCTTGGTTATTTGAAGACGTTTCGCTTCTCATCCAAGAAGCTTCTTCAACTCTGACAGGATCGTGAAGAATTGATGCCAATGACCAGCTGTCTGCAAGGAATATCAATCCTTCCATCCCCTACTGTCCTATCAGAGCTGAAGAAGCTCCTTGGACGAGAAGTGAAACGTCTTCAAAGAGAAACCAAGAAGTCCAGGAAAAGCCCCTTTGGGACGATCATCAGGGCTAGAAGGGAGAGGGGCTTGCTCTCAGTTTATGTTTTGGGGGCTGGTCCCTACAGTGTTGGCGGACGTGGCCTTAGAAGGTCTTCGGTTGGGCTGTTTACTGAGCCGCCAAGGCTCTTTTTATGAACGCGATGAAGCTGGCAGGGATGTCCATTTTGTTGAAAGGATCTTGTACACGTGGCCTGGTTCCTTTTTTTCCTTTGCTCTTCGGGAATGCTGTGGTACGTTCGTGCTCATCTAAACAGAGTTCTTACACACAGCTTCTCTTGTGGGAGGTTGTCTTATTCGTTTGGTAGTGGAGCACTTGGCTGGTGTGTGTGTGTGTGGGAGGGGTTTGCTACACCCGTGTTTTTACAAGATCCTGTTCTATTAAACGTGTGGTCTATATGCTCCTCATTTAACAACCCCGTAATCCCTTGCAGGGTGGAGTCGGGGCAGCTGAATGGAGCTGAGCGTTTACTGGCCGGATGCCTTTCCTGTCGCCAATGTGGAGTTTTTGCAGCTGGTATATTCTCATCGTGCCCAGAGAGAGAAATATCAGTCTCTACCTAGAATCGAACTCACGGCCTCCTGATTGTCAGGTGAGAGCTCCACCTCTAGGCCAAAAAGTGTGGCCTATATACCTGGCCCATATTTTGAGTTGTATGCATAGGAGTGCTACTGAGTCCAGATGTTGCATTACAAGCCCTGCTGTCGGTCCTGAAAGGGGGAAATCCCATTCATTTGTTGATAAGTTTACCCATCAAACTCTTAAGTGTGTCGTTACACCCAAACATATCCTGATTCAGCACATTTGGCCTTTTCTATTGTTTTTCAGTTCCTATCCCATTCCAGGCTGGACAAAACCCCAACCCTGACCCCTTTTTGCAAGTGGGTGGGTGGGGGGACTTGGACTATGAACCCAGCATTATAGAAAAGCTGTCATGTTTCCTCAGCCAAGGAGAGAGCTGGTTCAAAAAGAGGCTGGTAACCCACTTCCCTGGTTTAGGGGCCGGAAGATTTCATCGTTACGGTGACGTGTTAGTTGGATGGAAATGCAAGTTGAAAATGCCAGAACTGGGGCAAGATACGAATGTGGGGGGGGGGGGGAAAGGAGGGACAAGGAGCAGGGAAAGAGAAGAGGTGGAGGAGGGCCAGCCAAGGTACCTGATTTAAATGCTGGCTGACTTCACGGGATAATGAACTCATTGAACTAGAGCGCGAAAGCTACAAAACAGCAAAGACACAACACACACACACAAAAAAAAGGAATCAAAGTCACCATGCCAGCCTCTGCCTGCAACTCTCAGCTAAATTTTCGTTCGTATCAAAGGGAGGGGGGGAGGGGTGTCCCAGGGTCAAAGGTTAAATTATACATATCTCTAAGTGCAAGTTAGCTTTGCTTATTAAAAAAAAAAACAAAGGCACTTTCTGGGTTATGAACACCTCAGATGCAATTCAGGGCCTCGGGTTGGATTTTAAGAGCCTAGCATTTTCATGGCGCTTCACATTAAGTCAAACTCATGCACAAATGATGTTCAACGGAGGAATGAGGAGGGTTCCTCAGCATGGCAGACCTCTTCAGAAGAGGCGGCTGTATCTTCACTTCCCAGATTGCCCGGCCAAACCTTATGCTACGTTTACCTCCTTCCGGTTCCATCCTTCCTGCTTCCAATGGCCTTTAAGCTCTGGAGTTTGTTACCTGCTATTTTCCCTTGCCAAGGTGGGCCCAGAAGCATCTGGCAGGTGCCTCAAAGGCTCAGAGTAGCTAACCTGGCAAGGGACGCTTACCTCTCCAGGCTGGGCGTCCCCTGGATTCGACGCAGGAAGCTCAGGCCCAGGTGGAAATGCAGCAGAATTTAAGTACTGAAAGACAAAAAGAAAGGAAGGAAGGATGCCGTGAACTGTGGAGATGTAGCAATGACCCAAGAGAATCCAACTGAAATTATCCACGGCTAAGCACTGGCACGAGCGTTTTATAAAATCCCAAAGTCCTCATGTTCTTTTTAAAGTTCCCCTTCACGTGGAGAGGGCAGAGAAGAATCAGTGCAATTAATTAACACCAGGTAGGCCTTGATTTATGACGGTTTTAACCACGGTGCCAAATTATGCTGCCTCAGCAATCCCCGTGATTGCAAATCCAGGCACTTGGCACCTGGCTTGCATTTTCAACGGGGTTGCAGCGCCTTGTAGTGTGACACGATTGTGATGTGTGTCTGACAAAAACATCACCTGGGGAAGCTGGGTTTGTTTCATTGCGGTGGTGAAAATGGTCACAAAAATCAGGTTCGCTCACATGACGATTCACTTTGGGACCTGCATGGCCTACAACGGAAATTCTGCTTCCCTGTGGTTGTAAGCTGAGGACTACTGTATACGTTTCTTCTTATTCACATGTCTTTCACCAGTTTTGCTGTTCTCTCTTCTGTCACCACCCCCTGCCCGGCCCACAGTCTTTCACTGGCATCCAACATCTGAATTCTCAGCCAGTAAGGCTTTTTTTTAAAAAAAAATATTGTTCTTATTTTACAAAATAAAACATAGAGTACAAAAGAAAGAAAAGAAAATAGGAAATTAAAGGCGGGAAAAAGGAACGGGGAAAAGGGAGGTGTGAAATACAAGGGGAAAGAGGAGGGAGGCACTGACGTCTACCTCTTCCTAGTACAGTACAAGATAAACACCCTCCAACGGCCTCAACTTTTTCCTTTGATATATATTTAATATATAACGATTTGACATTTAATATATAACTAGCCATTTCTGTAACACCGAATCGTTGCAGAACTGGTGTTATAGAAATAGCCAGGGAGGCGTCTGAGTGGGGGCTTCGAAGCCCAGCTGCTGCGTCGAGGGGCTCTGGCCAAAAGTCCCACCTCTCTAAAAGGAAACAACACGGGCAACTCTAACTTACTGGTACTTCTCCAGTTGACTCAGGGTTGGCGTCGTTGCCTGGTGCCACCTGATCTTGAGCCACTCCACCCTCCAGCGGTGTTTGCTCTTCAGGAACTGTACGAAGAGGTCACAGGTTTAAAACAAACAAACCAAAAAAACCCACCAAGCTCTCTGTCCCTTCCCTCCTTCACGGGTGTCTGCACAGGGCAGGGGTCTTCGAACTTGATAGCTTTAAGACTGGTGGACTTCAACTCCCAGAATTCTTCCTCCTCCAGTCATGTTAGCTCAGGAATTCTGGGAGTTGAAGTCCACCAGTCTTAAAGCTGCCAAGTTTGAAGACCCTTGTTGTACATGTTTGACAAACAAATAAAATAAATAAATTAAACAAATAAAATAATAAATAAATCCAGAATTCTGGAAGAGGGAGTTTTTGCGATGTTCTTTCGGGTGTTTGAAGAGGGAAATCCCCTGCCCACCTCTGCCTCTCTTATTCTGGGGCTCGGCTGCCTTCAAAGGATTTGGCCCCCAGATCATCCCTTCTTGATCCTGCGCGCCTTCCAGCATGCGCCGTGCCCACTGATGGGAGGAGTTGTGACTCAAAGCAGCGAACATACCTAATATTCCTCCTACTTTCCCCAAAGCAACAACCTTGCGGGGTGGACTGGACAGAGAGAAAATGCAGACCCAAAATTCCAGCCACCTTTCGTGATTATTCAGGTGCGACTAGAACTCCCCGTCTCCTGGTTTCCGGCCTGGGACCTTAAACAGTAGACCAGGAGTCCCCAAACTTGGCAACTTTAAGGCTTGTGGACTTCAACTCCCAGAATTCCTCCTCCAGTCATGTTAGCTCAAGAATTCTGGGAGTTGAAGCCCACAAGCCTTAAAGCTGTCAAGTGTGGGGACCCCTGGCACAGGGTCTTCCATGGAAAAGTAGCCACGCTTGAAATGGGCGCTCTCTCCCATGATGATCTCTGGCTGGCTTTAGGGGAAACTTCTTCTCAAGTTGAAGGCTTCAAAGTTGTTCCGAATTGCAGTCCAAAATTATGGAATCTCTTGGCTTTTAAGGCAGTGCTTCACACACAGAAAAGGACGCGTTGTTTAAGCGTTAACACTAACCATTCAGAGAACGGAGCATTCAAGAAGAGTATTTTCACGAACAGAATAATTCTAACCTAAGCCCGTCGACAAGAGGCAGCCTATCGAAAACCCGTGCCAATGGAATTTAATGGCTGAGAGTAATGGGGTATTTACATTTTTAAATTGTATAGAGATTATTGTATGGTCTGTTGTGTTTAATTTTATTTTTCTTTCAATGGTGTTGTCCAGTTTTACTTGTGGAAGAGCACCTCATTTCGTTGCACCCGCTTGCGAGTGTAATGACAAATAAAATTCTTATGTCTTATGTCAATTAATTAAATCTCAATCTTATATTTCCCTTGCAAAAGATGTTCAACCTAAATCGGCCAACAGCTCTCCCCACCCCGCCTTCCCTCTTCCTTGGAAAGAGAAGCAGAAAAAAACAGCAGCTGGGAAGGGAGACGGACGGACGGACGGACGGGCAGGCAGGCTCCAGGCGGTGGGTTTAGCTTGCCTTCTTCTCGCCTGCCTGTAACTCACCTGAGTTGGGTACAAACATGTTGGCAGGGATGGGCATCGGGGCCAAGGGAGCGAACAGGTCAGCTGGTGCTGGAGCAGGAACGGGGGACGTGGCTTTGCTTGGGTTCAGAATGTCCACGTAGCGACCTTTACTCCCCGCTGCGAAGGGACAAGCAGAGAGAGAGGGAAAAAAAAGGCTCGTTCCGGAGAACTGAGGAAGAGAGAGAAGAAGCCCCTCGGGGAATAAGGGCCCCTGGGCGGCGGCTGTGCCAGGCAAGGTGACAAAAGCTCTCAGGCAGAGCCAGGAAAGCGGCTTCTGCCTATCAAAACAGGCTAATTAAGATTACGGCAGCACAGTGGTTAGAGTGCAGGACTGCAGGCCACTTCTGCTGACTGCCGGCTGACTTCAATTTGGCAGTTCAAATCCCACCAGGCTCAAGGTGGACTCAGCCTTCCACCCTTCTGAGGTCGGTAAAATGAGGACCCAGGTTGTTGGGGGCAAGAGGCTGGCTCTATAAACTGCTCATAGCAGGGCTGTAAAGCACTGTGAAGTGGTATATAAGTCTAAGGATTATTGCTATCTCTCTATCTCTCTTTATATCTATCTATCTATCTATCTATCTATCTATCTATCTATCTATCTAT